TAAAGAAAGTGTGGCGGTTTTCAAAGAATATAATCCGTGTCGTCAGGGTCATACAATTCTGTTATACGGCCGACCCGACCCCGGCCCCCATTACAGTCAGGAGTAATAATGTTGCCCCCAGAGAAAAATGTTTGGTGACCCCTGATTTAAATAATAAAGGGTTACACAAACAAGTGTGAATGAAACAAAACACTACTCCAGGTATGTTTTTGATGAGGTAACAATATTATAACATGACTTAACACTCACAGGAGTCAATTTTGCAGAATATAGGAACTGTAAGTGAAAATAATATTACTCATTGGCACGGTAACAATACTATTCACAGTATCCATTCAAGTTCTTCTACTAATACTAACACTACTAAACCACTGGCTACTACTACTACATTTGCTTTTTCAACAACTAATACTGCTTATACTACCTCTACTACTTCTACTACTACTGCTTGCAAGCCAACTGCCCATAATTGTCCTAACTTCTAACATGTTGCTTCTACTAATACATTTACGAACACTTGACATATTACATGAAACTTTGTCTAGTAATTAGTTCTTGTCTTGTGTAGTACTTATATTTGTGTACTACTGTCTATTGCGAGTAGACATGGGTGAAGAAACTCAAAGCTCAAAGTTACAGTAAGACATTTGAGAAGAAATCATGGCATTGATTTATAGTTCATTGTCGGGAGTCTATAGAACAGGTAACCTTAAGATGATTCATTGCGAAAAGTGGGGTACAGAAGACGTCATCCGCAGATTTCAAATGTTCTGGGTAACCTTGAAGTGCAACAAAACCATTATCCAGTACTTCTCTGCAGCCATTAAGCCACTGCACTATCCCCAGTTGTTTTTGTCGTTAGCTTTAATCTTTCTTTCAGTTGTCCTCTTAGAAAAATACACGATTGGCAAGGACAGGTTGAATAGGCCTGTTGGTGAGGCCTAATGTTTAGAGCTGAGTGCAGAGCGGCTGTATTGTAAATATAAGTCTTCAGTGATGTTGAAGTTGTGGTCGAAAGGTCAAAAGTCATGCCCAGGTTAACATAAGGACAAAATTCTTTAAAGGCATAGGCATAGAAGATCAGACAAAATCAACAAAATCAGCTTTTTTCCTACGTGGCATCCTTTTACTATTTATAGCTAACATGTTTTAATAGAAGAAAGAGTGTATTTAATGTATATTCATACGTATTGCATAATAGTGATAATTCCTGCGAAAATGCATATGTTATCCTGTTTATGTTTGAAAGGAATACATAGCAGGCTTTGAAATTCCAATTAGCCTAAAGGGACAATCTTCTCTGGAGGAGGGCCCCAATCTGCTTGCCTTTGTGTGATGATGTTGCTTTACCTGCAATGTTCCTTAACGTGGCATTAAAGAGCCCGTATTATGCTGTTTCCTCATCAAAAATAAACCTTGAGTTGTGTTTTGTTTCATTCACATGTTTAACACACAATCCCTGCATATTTAGGCTGAGTTCTTCTCTCAAACAGAAAACACTCTGTTCCACATTGTGATGTCATGTGGTAATACAGGAAGTGCTCCACTGTGTTTTTAAACTCCATATGTCTTCAGTAGAATCATTTAGATCAGTGGTCCCCAACCTTTTTTGCGCCACAGACCGGTTTTATATCCAACAATATCACGCGGACCAGAGGGGGTCCTGGTTAGTCCTGGTTTTGACCTGGTTTAGACCTGGTTTACTCCTGGTTAAGTCCTGGTTTAATTCTGTTTTAATTCTGGTTTAGCTCTGGTTTAGAGGTGTGGCCCGTGCAGTGTACGAGAGGGGGGACCGTCCACGCAGCAAGGTTAAGCCCTGGCTAAATCCTGGTTTTAGACCCTGTTTTAGACCCTGTTTTAGTCCTGCTTTTAGACCTGTTTTAAACCTATTTTACACCTGTTTTAGTCCTGGTTTTAGACCTGTATTTAGACCTGTTTTAGTCCTGGTTTTAGACCTGTTTTAAACCTGTTTTACACCTGTTTTAGTCCTGGTTTTAGACCTGTTTTTAGACCTGTTTTAGTCCTGGTTTTAGTCCTGGTTTTCGTGCTTTCACGGCCCAGTACCAAAGGACCCACAGCCCGGTACAGGCTAAGTACTGATTTAGATCATTTCAGATCTGGAATTTCCAATCTCTGAAAAAAAAGGTGAAGGGTAGCTGTTAACTTGAAAACTACCACTTCATGACATCACAAGGTAGTACAGAGCATTTGAGCTTTGGGGATACAGACAGCCTAATGATGTATCATTATTTTAATCACTTAAACACGTGTGAATGAAACAAAACACAACTCTAGGTATGTTTTCGATGAGGTAACAACATTCTAACAGGGCTTAAAGCTCAGAAGAGTCCATTTTGCGTAATTTCTGAACTTTAACTTTTTAATCTAAACTTAAACTAAACTTTCTTGCATTTATTCAGCAACATGTCCAATAACTTAAGCTCGCCCATAATCCATCAACATAAAAATAATAGCATCATTTAGAAAAAGACGACTAGGTAAAGCTGCCATTAGTTAACGCATGTGACATAAAGAACATGTCTGTGCACCCCGCCCCAGACTTCCTTTATTTGCTCATAACTGATTCCCTCGCTCCTAGCTTCTTTCGCTCTTCAAAACACTCCACATAACAATGACAAAATGAGTGCCGTAACCATAGGCATCCTTATTGATCCCTTTTATTAAATCCATATCAATCGCAAAGACATGCCAGGAAAAGGAACACTGTGCTAGCTTTGATGTGCGAAAAGATTTACAACTCAATATGTTCTTTCATTTCTCCGTGTTTACCGAAGTGACTGCCGACGCTGTTATTTGCGGATAAAACGAGCTGCTTGGGCTGTGACAAATTGCCCAGAGACGTCCCACTGTAGAGTTTAAGTAAAGAGCTTTATTTTTAAGACGAAACTACTCTACACAGACAAACGTTTGTTCCCTCATAACTTTTGCATTATTTATACAGCGGATAGGTCCCACGTGGATTCTTAAAACTACTTTTTGGTTCGAAAGTACTAAAGTGGTGCACGAAGTAAAATGCAGGCAGTTCATTATATGTGACTTAATAGGGCATGAATACGGTTCCAAAAATGTCCCATTGCATATCTTTCTTGGAAAATGTGTTGTGCAGTATCAGTATGCAGTATTTGTTGGGACTGGACGGACGGATGTGTACACTTTTTATGCAACTTAAATATGTTTTGTAAACCGTGTTGTGTCTTTGTGATTTTACATACTTTTCCTATTTTTGTTTGCGATGAAAGTTGCCACCCATGGGTTAATCAAAGCCAAAACATGCTCACTAGAAAGAACTTGAAATGTAGCAATTCAAATGGATTATGAAAGTGAGATAGATCCCTAGCTTGAACAAATTGTTGTGTCTCCCAGCTCTTCACCCCAATTCACGTTTATAACTTTTCCATCCCAAAAAGTCCTATATGCTCAGAGAACATTCAAAACAAAGCTACCTTAGAGAGGAGCTGAGGTGAGGAGCTCAGTCACATGAGAGGAGCTCGGAGTAGAGACACTGCTCCTCCACGTCAGAAGGAGCCAGGTGAGGTGAGGTGGATCAGGCTATTCCGGATGCCACCTGGATGTATCCCTTGGGAGGTGTTCCGGGCATGTCCCACCAGAAGGAGGCCCCGGGGAAGACCCAGGACACGCTGGAGGGACTATGTCTCTTGGCTGGCCTGGGAACACCTTGGTGACCCCTCAGAAGAGCTGCAGGAAGTGTCCGGGGTGAAGGAAGTCTTGGAGTCCCTGCTTAGACTGCTGCCCCTGCGCCCCAGCCCTAGATAAGACGAAGAAAATGGATGTAATATTAAAGTGATGCAACAGCTAAAAAATTAAATTATACCACAATATTGGATGGTTAGGATAAAAAAAATAATAATTAAAAATCACATAAAATCTAGCTGCTATTGATGGGTTTCAGCTTCCTGTTGTCTGCAAAATTCTGACAACTTTTTCCCCCATTCAAAATATACAATAGTATTTAGTTTAAAATGATTAATCGCTATAGAAACATTTCAAATTTGTCTCTATCTGAAACCCATGGATATGCAACCTCAAATAGCATGACATATCTCTCTTTTGAAAAACGCATTAAACCAAGGACAACAAAAGAAAGCATTCAAATCCGCCCAAGCGCAGTCCTTGATTTGCCATTTATCTACTGAAAAGCTTCAAAGCAATACCTGCAAACAGTACAAAAAACCTTTCCTGTCACGCCATAAAGGGACATCTGTTTTTTCCGAATAACTAGGATGTCACGAAACGTCCCCCCGAATCTGACTCAGCAGTCTCCTCCGTCCCAGACACCCATTTGCGCCACTAAGAGCACGACTTGACAACTCTGTGATAAGCCCGTGTCATTTTTGTCCCCTTACGTTGTCTCTTTATCGGGACATTGTTGCGGAGGACATCTTTCTTCCATTCTCCTCTTGTCAGATACTTATCCGGCGTGTTCCATCTGGCCTCCACTTTTTGTATTGACTTGCAATCATCAAACGCCGCGTGGCATTCAAATCTGCGTGTATAGAAGGTGCTGAAAAGGCCAGAAACGGTCAAAAGCAGGTGCAGGCTATTTGGTGGTGGATTTGAATAAGCGCCTCTTGCTGTGCGCGAGGCTGTTATATTTAATATCCGGCCGCCTTTTCGTTTCAATTAAATCCAAGCTTTATTAATCCCAATGGGGGCAACTCATTCATGCACCAAAATGTCCGGAAAGGTGATTACTGGCGAGCTCTCCGGTGAAAAGTGCACATTTTGTGGAGAAATCCATTATGCACACCCTTTCATGGCAGTAGGTTGGTGGTAATTTAGCTAGCATTTGTACCTAACGTGCCTGTTCTATACAAAATCACCATCTAGCTGGTCATCTCAGTGTGTGCTAGCTTGCATTTTTTATACTTCACGTGTCCTTTTCATGTAATTACTTTGCTTTCAATCTCCCAATCTCACGTCTTTCTTTGTTCTTCTGTATTTTCTTTTTTTTCCCGCAGGAAGTTACCGCTGAAGGAAGAAAATGGAAAAGAGTCTCTCAAGCCGGATACGATTGAAATCAAAGTGCACAGTGACAACAGTCTGCACACACAGCCCAACATCAGCAAAGCGTAAAAAAATAAATAAAAAACTCCCTCGTCACCAAAAGAACATTCGGATTACGAGACCAAAACCAGGAAACAACGATACTGGAGTCCACTAGCATATCTGTTTAGCAAATGCCCCCGCAGCAGGCATGTGTACATAGGAATAATCGAGAGAAAACCGAACAGACGGGCCGACCTTTTCAACGCCCAGAGTGATGTGAAGTGTATCAGTGGAAGGTTATTCTGTGATCTATGTCCATTAATTTGGCCCATTTTTTTGTCTCCTCTGTCAGCGCGGCTCAGGCTGCAGTTCTGAGCCCCCGTGTGTCCTCGGCAGTGATAATGCTAGCTTTTCTATTGTTAGAGCTAACGTGCAGGCAGCCAAATGCTCTGCTTCATAGAATTCAGATTTATTTGAAGCAACGCTAATGTTTATTTATTGTTATTATTTTTTCGTGTTGGGTATCAGCCGTAGTGTCAAATTTTGTGTGCCATGGAGCTTAGTATCAACTAGCTCTGTATTGACATGACTAACCCGATAAAAGCCAGACTATTATGCAAAGTTTATTGAACCGTTAGCGAATTAGCTTATGTTGGCTAAGCTAGCACCTACGATAACCATTTCTGCTCAGTTCAATTCACAACATCTTTGACTCAACTAATAATTGGGCTATATTTTTAAGCAGGCATTCTTCTGAAATATCTTAACTCATCAGCGTCGAATATTATCTTTTTGTGGACATAGGTAGCACAGAAATCGTTCACTCTGTAGCCTAGCTTCATGCTCCCGATCCTTTAGCTTTCGTTAGCTGAGCCAGCGCACATACCGACCATCTTTCCAGGTGACATCGCAAACCTTGTTATGCCTTTAAAGCTGCTCTGGTGTCATACTAATCAGCATCTGAAGCTAAAGATTTATTTTTTTCTTTTTGTTTTGTTTTTTTTTAGCTGCCAGTAAACAGATTTCAACACGAGTTAGAGAAACCAATTGAAATTAGCAACGGAAAGGGTTAGCGGGATGTGTTTATCCATAATTTGAGACGGAACAGGCTATTGTCATCATATTGTTCACTTTAGAACTACAGTAAGACAGCAGCAGCAAAAATGCACTGATATGGTTAGGCTCATGATTGAAACCGCATATTGTATTCTCTCCTTGCGTGTGCACAAATACATTCAGTCACTCCTCAACGAACTGTCGCCAGAGGTGAACTGCACTGCAAGCTCATTTCCTCCCTCCACACACAACTTGGAAAATTAATGTCTTTTTGTTGCATTGGGCCTGAACGTGGCGTGATGTAACATTTCTGTAAAAGCCAGGATATGAGCGATGGCTTCGGGGCTGCAGGCACGCGAACAGATTCATACACAAATGGATCAATGGCTTGTTTTTGCGTTTCTTCATCACTGTCTGGGACTTCTTACCACGTGCGGGCTGATCTCTCTAATGTTGTCATGTGTTGTACATACGTTGAAAAAAAAAAGAGTATTTTACAGAGCTTTTATGTAAATATACCCAGAGGGATGTGTGTTTTTCAAATGCAATGACTATTCCCCCCCATTCCCTCAGATGAAAAATTGTTTCTTTCTGTTTGTGTTTTGGTCGGAACTTCAGTAATGGTGCAATATTACTTTTTTCATGCCATTTGCTTTCCCGTAAAAAGAATCCATAGCCTAAAGCAATTTCGCTATTTCAACGAAGGCAGTAATTCCAGCATTAGCGTGCCTTCTCTTACCCCCCCTCCCCTCTTTAGACCGCCGAATGCATTTCACATCTCAACAACAACAGGCTGTCACAAGTTGCCGCTGGTTGTAGCCGTGGATTCTGGGAAGTGTAGTCTTGAGGTAGGCGACACTGGACACAGGTATAGTCGTGTATTTTGGGCTGTGAATAGAGGGATTGTTAATGTGTGTGTGCGCATACATGCATGGACCAGGGCGTCTCGAGGGTGCGTCCGTATAAATCAGGTTGCATGTATGTGCGTTGAATGTATCCGAACGCACGTCGGTTTTACCTCTGTGTATACATTTGTGTGCGTGTTTACATAAAAATCTAATGTCATGATAGTGTTTATTTTGGTAAGTTATTGTTTTAAATTAATGTCTATTGAATGGTGTAATATGCAACTTAAAGGGGTTACATATAGACCTATAAGAAAAACAGAATGTGTTCCAAAGATGTCAATAAGTGATAAACGTGAACTTAAGCGCATGTTATGTTGCCTTTAACCACTAGATGGAGTCATGAGCCATGAGAAGATCTGTTTTGGCATTCTTTTAAACCATTTCCGACTTAATTTATCAGTATATTTTTACTTATTTTTATTGTCAAAAAAAAAAAAAAAAATTATACTTGTTAAGACTTAGATTTAGACAAACTTTATTGATCCACAATTGAAATTATTTGGACACAGTAGCTCACACATCACAATATAATATAACACAAATGGCAACAATATACTCCAGTCCAACAGAGTAGTTTGTGAGAGACAAGAGGCAATTGTTTTTGTAGTTTTGTTAAATCAAGGTCTACTTACATGCTTGTATACGCTCTTTCTGTGATCACCACCAGATGGAGTGATGAGCTACTTCAAATTTAAACTTCTTTTCCTCTCTTTTTTTCCCGTTACCTTGAATTTGCTTTCTACCAAATACCGGTCGACACTTTGACGCTGTAAACCTGCAAAGTTTGTTGACGAATATTACCGCCATATGGTGCTGATGATCCGAGAGACGTTCCAGGACTACATGTAATCCCTTTAAAGTCATCTGAGTGTGGCTCGCGTTCGTCTTTGACAGTGGAACAGTGCCAGAGCTCTCACAGTGAGTTAGGGAGTGCGCACCGATAGCTAAAACCTGATTATGTACTTGTCCACAGTGATTAATTTCTCACGGCTGCGGCACTCCATGCATGTGTCTGCAGGGTCCCCCCCTCCTTCCTCCCTCCTCCTCCCTCCTCCTCCTCTCCTCTTCATCGTTTTTTATCAAGCCTTTCGTAGCGCTGGCTTTGTTTTCTTGTACCTTGCATATCTCAAATGGATGGTCCTGCCATGGAAGCGCGCGGCTGCCTGTTACGACAACTGTAAATATGGGAGCACAGTGCCTGGAGGCTGGGACGATTTGTACATGTTCTTTTGTATTTGAATATGAACTCTCCCCCTCGGCTGCCCGCTCCTCCGTGATCCCTTCTTTCGCGTGGGGGTGTTACAGGTGTGGTTGAGCTCAGTGTACAGTGTATGTCTCCCCCACCCCCCTCTCGTCCCCCTCTTGGACTGTCCCACCGAGCGCGCTCAGTGCAGGGGCTGGGTTCTAGTGATGTCTCTCTGTACGTACCTGTGGAACACTTGTGACTCCTGTCATTGGCCGCTGTAAATAAACATGTCCTGGTAGAAAACTCACTCATGTTGTCTTTCTATTTTTCTATTTCTATTGTGGTCTTTATTACAGAGATCAGGCGTAACAATATAACCACTCAGCTCAACTCTGCAACCTAATGGACCCTTTTGACTGCCTGATCAGCCAGTCCCTTCTACAGTCTGTTTGACTCCAGAACCATCAGCCCATAGAGCTTTACGGTCCATGTACCATTCGTTCTTTTGAATTTCAATTAAGAATGAAAAACTATAAAATGGGAGTTTTTTATTTCATTATTCTGTTTCAGTATAGAAACAAACAAACAAACAAAAAAGATTTTGACCTCTATTTCCAATACTTAATTTAAACTTTGTGTCAAATAACACCAATCAGTAAACAGTCTCAGTGCCTATTTTAATTTTGATATTTTATTCTTTCTGGTTTATTTGACCTGGAAGTTCTGCTGTTAAAAGGACACATGAAAAATCGTTGCAGTTTTGTGGACAAAAATGTCTACTTTTCCTTACTTTTGCGTCTTAGAAAGTCATTGTTGAACTCCATGACAAGAATCAGAAATAGAGATCGAAATCTGTTTTTTGTTTGACACTAAAACAGAATAATGAAATAACAAACTGTTTTCCCATTTTATTGTTTTTTGTTCTTAATTGAAATTCAAAAGAACAAATGGTACATGGACCTTGGTCTTAATTTGAGACAGTCCAACCAACAAATATGGAAGATATCTCCTCTTGAAAATTCTCAGAACAAAATATGCAACTGCTTTTACTTAATAACAGTTTAGAAATCCACTTTTTCTTAGTCCTCTGCCTTCTTTTTTTCCCCCCACAAACAGTCCATTCTTCTCTGTGCCGTGGTTCTGGCTGATCAGGTAACCACTGCAAACTGGGACACCCAACAAGAGCAGCTGAAGAGATGTTTTGACCAACACATTTCTCAAACAAATGCTACGTTTTTGTCCTTCTACACAACAAGATCTTTCCTTCTTCTAACTCTGTGGCCATAATGTTACGCCTGATTGTTGTATTTGTTCAATAATAAGTACATTTTGATGATGATTCTTTCCAAGTCACAGTTGCAGTTTCTAAATGCAGCAGAATGACTTTTCCAGCTAAACCTCTATCTCCCAGTGTTATAGCCTCTTTTCATTCTATTAAATTAACTCCAGTCTTTGTAATTTTAACATCAGATGCTTCAAGGTAATGTACAGTAAACAACATTACAGCTTCTTCTTTCCAAGGCTATTACGCACACCCACACGCCTTTCTTTACTTAGCGTGTCTTTAATGTGTTTCAATTTTGTCGAGCGCCTATCTTCATTCACATGGTCAGGATTGAGTCATTGCTTGTGTTTGTGTAAATGTTTTGATGCCAAGGTTAAGTGGAGCTTGTCAAGAGGAATCCAAGTGCAAATCAGGACAACCAAACAATGAATCTTCTGCCCACATCAAGACTTCAGGAGATGGGAACGCAGGTACCAAGAATAAGTCCACTGATCTACACGGAGAGATTGTAACTGGATGAAAATGTCAATGTAAAATGTCTGGAGTAAATCACTGACATCAATTTAAGATAATGCAGTTGGCCTTTATGTGTGTTCTTATGCTTTAATTTTGTACTAAGTAAGTTTTCTGGTCCCATGGAGATGTTTTTTTTTTTTGCCATATGCCTGGAATGTTCCACCATACTGCATTACATGTATCTATTTTTTAAGGTATATTGTTCAAAAATAGGCTAACACTGGCAAAGAAAAACCTAAAAACTAAAAACAGCATGCATTCTTATTGTGGAACATTCCTAGAAAAGCAATAACATCTCCATGGAGACAAGCCGACAAGTTACAGTGCAACTTCAATATGCAATGAAAAAAATACGTATATATGCAAAGTAAAAAGTAGAAAAATATGAACCAAATCAATACTGTTGATACTTTGCAACTGATGTCATCAACATTTCCTGGGGTTGTGATGCTTACTGAAGGCACTACTCTGTCAGAAGCCCTGTTAGACTTTAATCTAATCTTTGTTTTAACATAATATGACACATATCTCTCAGGTGTCCAGGTAGAATCCATGGCAAAGGAGAAATTCAATTTGTCAAACTGGACTAAAGTTTTTTTGGTCGAATATGTTTCATAGCCCAAGCTGCTTCTTCAGTTCAGGTCAAATTTCCTATTGACCTAGCAAATAAACAGAAATTGTGAACTAGTAGGTGTATTTCAGAGTAGTTTCAGTGTAGTTAGCTCCTCCCTTCAGGCAGATTTAAGGCAGTGTCCACCTATCCAGGCTGGTGCAACCTAGTGCCTCTGCTCAGTTGTAATTCTCTTCAGCGACTAAGTCAAGAATCGGAATACACTAGACGGTTTGCAAGAACCCCGGAAGTGCGAGTCCGGGCTCCGGCCAATCAGCGAAGAGCCATACATTCTGTGTTGGCAACAATTCCAGAGATCGAGGATTTATAAGCTAGAACAAAGAGAATGTTTGGTGAATTTTATCAAGGGAAAAGATGTTATTGCCCTTCTTTCTATGGGATTTGGGAAAAGCTTAATATACCAGTTAGCTCTGTTAGCCGCGCAGTACATACATCACGACCAAATAGCAGCAATTGGTTAAATAAAAAAAGTACCTGCCTACCATCGAGCAAACAAATTGCTGCTAATGGTCAGATGGTTTCCACAAAGTGAAACCGGCTGATGAATCAGTCTAGTGTCCACCAGCATTCTGAGCAAAACTGAAGAAGCAGCTTGGATGAGCTGTGAAATGTATTTGACCAAAAAAACTTTTATCCAGTTGACAAACTGAATTTCTTCCTTGCTGTAATCTGACCTGAAAGATTTGATTTAGTTGGAACTTCAACAGGTGAGGTAAACATGACTATAAACTTTTTTGCCAGCATTTGCTAATATGTGCATATGTGTGTCACCATGTTAATAGCAGATACATCCTGCCATAGAAATACATGTAGAACACCCCCAGCATGATGCCACTTCAAAGTATCTATAGATTGCCTCAACTGCTATATATTAACATTTTAGTGTTGATCTGTATTGCCAGTTTGAGTCACAGGTATGCATCTACAATCTTAAATCTGCAATAAACTACAGTACAAACTTCTATTATACAGTAGATTAATAGACGATAGATACCGTAATACATCTTGATTTTGTAGGCGCTGTCCCACTGACCCTGCACTGTGTTTTTTTTTATTTACTGATCTGAAAGTGGGTGACAATTTCATTACACCTTCCTCTACACCCTATTGTCCATTCTTAAGATTTATAAAGCACAAAAACCCATTGGTGATAGCTTTTAATTTAGTGTCTTTTTTTTTTTTTTTTTTTTTTTTAGAGGACACACTTCTATTTCCATCAAGGTCACGTCTCTCACCTCCATTAGCCCTGTGTGAATGTGGGCTGTGTCTTCTCCTGAAACAGAGCCAGAGCAGTGATAAAAACCAAAGGGACCCGTGCGGACTCAAAGGGAGAATTAAGACTATTCCGAACTGAGAGGGATTTAAAGTGAAACGATAAGAGCTTTTAGAAACGTGAAGCAGACCACATCACACAGGTTTTAAAGTGAGCTACTCCAGGGTTTCATTTCAAGTTTATACTCCTGGTTTCAGTTTTTACCAGTGACTGTCATTCTCAAGTTTTTGTTAGACCTGATTTGGGTTCACTTTTTTCTATTTAAAGCTTCTCTGTGTAACTTTTATGACGATAGATCTGCCACATGCTTGTGTCCATGGACATGTTTTTGCTTTCCCTGGAATGTTCCACAGTATGATAGTAAATTTGTTGATGTGTTTATTCAATTACAGGCGTTTTTATAGTTGGAAATACCTTCACAAATCTGCATTATAAGAGAGCAGACGCACCTCTCCACAGATCTTGCTTGTAATAACTTTTTTTATCTCTAGTTTAGTGCAATACAGTGGAACATTCCAAGCACTGCAATCTCCATAGAGACAAGCAGGTAGCAAATCCGGTGCTAGAAAAGTTACATGGTGTGTTTTTAATGTTGGTTTAGTCTGGTTTTAGATCTTATTTAGTTTTAATTCTGTTTTTTTTTTTTATTGGGTCATTTTGCAGCACTACAAAACAAAAAAAAGACTGACCACAACTACATGGATCATGACAGAAAGGGTACCAAGCCCTATTAAACAATAACAATAATAATTCCAAGAAAGAAAGCAAGTTTCCATTTACAATTTCACTTACGACTCACTGTACATACAGTATAAGAGAAAAAATATAAATTAAAACAAACTAAATTTAATGCGTAATTCATTCATTTCAGAGCTCTTTATCGTTAAAACATAACGCTTTATACTCTTTTTTTGTTTTTTAAAGGCTTCTACAATGTTGGACTTTTTAAAATCATCACTCAGGTTGTTCCATAAATTAACCCCTAGAAATACAATCACTTTTTTTTTTTTTTTTTTTTTTTTTTTTTTTTTTTTTTTTAGTTCTTATCTTCATTTTTATTTATTTTTTTATTTTTTGGAAGATGCCAGTTTTGATTAGTTTTTTTTTTTTTTCATTAATGATTGTACAAACTAATCATAATGTTAACGAAGGCACAAAAGTTTATTGTTTATGAT